GTGTCGCCATCCAGCAGATGGGATTCAGGGGTGTCCAAAACGTATGAATTCTCGCAGAGAAGGAAAAAAATTGGCAAATTTCTTTTTGGAGTCAGTGCAAAAATTTTAACATGTTTTATACAATCTGTAAATTACAATATCTGATTCTATATTCTTTCGAGAAAAAAACAGCGTTTATTTCGTTCTTTTATCACAGAAATTGTAGAAATAGGAGGAAATTTAGTAAGTGACTACAGTTTTAATGGATCTCAAATAGCGGCCCTTTAAAGAATTCCGTACCGCTGGGAAAACATGAATTTAAAGGGCCGTAGGATACAGGTTAAGCCTCAGAAGATGTGTAAACAAGGAATTCACTAACTACTAACTAATTAACATATTCACCTGAACCAAAGATGAGCCCCACTCCCCCACCCACCCACATTTATTACATCTGATAAAAGAGAAGTTTGCCTTGAATTTGTTATACACCAAGAAAAATACTCTCATTAACCACTGAGCATATTCTTATTTCCAGCTAGTGAAGACAGAAACAGAATCACCAAGATCATTATGGTGACAGACCTCCCTTGCCTGACACCCCAAAAAAAAACCAATAAACAAATGACACTTAATTCTTCTTTACATAATTTTGAACAGACAGCAATGCTGCTACATGCTTTGACATACCCTACTCTTATCTTGAGAATTCCTTTGAACATTTCAGGATTTGTGGCAATGAGACGACCACAATAAAGTACAACCTCTTGTTGCAGCACAGCCTGTATAATATCATATGGCTGAATGGTAGAGTACATGACAGACTGGATCTCAGCTGGAGTCATAGGCTTATCAAACACAGTTTCTTGGTGTCCAATCACGCCCACAGTAAGCTGTAACACATAAGGAAATATAACATCATACTAAAGTATATCAAAATTTTATCTTAGACGTGATATTTTCATGTTAAACCTGTATAAACATAATATGTGGTACGGTCATAAAGTTCGTGGAATGTGCTTTATCACATTATATTACAAGGTGTTCACATACACTTACACAGAGCCATATCGGCCTTCAAAATAGTTGCCGTTGACCACTATCCAAGTCTGCCAACGTTGATATAGCTGTCGAAAACACTGCTGAAACATATTGGCAGTAAATTCCCATAACGCTTTGCGGCCATTCCACGAACTTATTGACTATGGTAGTACAAAGAAAGAATTATAAAAGTATATTTTTGTTCAAGGACAAGATTTAATGTCTGATACTCTGGAACAAATCCTTCTTAGAATAATTACCCATTTCCTTCAGCCCAAGAGGAAGTGGAAATATTAAATATTGAGAAGAGTAAGATGTAAAGTTGCCGGTCACGGAAGCCGAGCGGTCTAAGGCATGCACTGTCTTCGCTCGCTCAGAAGCCATGATCGTGGGTTCGAATCCCACTGAGGGCATGGATGTTTGTGTGCGTTTTTCTGTTTGTCTACAGGTAGAGGCCTTGCAATGAGCTGATCACTCGCCCAAGGAGTCCTACCAAATGTGTAAGATCTAGAAAAACTGAAGTGAACGGAGTTCATGGAGGTAGGCCTAGGCCCACTGGGGCTGTAGCGCCAAGGGGGGGGGGGAAAGATGTAAAGTTACAATCTGAGGACATCCAATTAATTTTCTGATGGTGATTAAATGGGAGGCAGGACTGCTCAGTCAGTATAGTGATGGGATACAGGCTGAACAGCTAGGGTTCAATCCCCAGCAGGGACAAGTTTTTCTCTTCTACACAGCATCCAGCCTGACTTTGAGGCCAAAGCAGCCTCCTATCCAATGGGTACCAGCGACCAGCGACTCTTTCTCCAAAGTTTAAGCAAACAAGGCACAAAGCTCACCTCCATCTAGTACCAAAGTCTAGAATGGTGGAGCTATACCACCACTCTCCCATATGTCTTCATGGTGTGGTGCTTAATTAATTAAGCAGACACAAATTTATGCTTTTTTATGATGATCAAGTACTATTAAAAACCGACATGTTTCAGCAATAATTGAACATTTTCAGAGTGGGGGGGGACCAGATGTTAAAGGAAACTTAAAAAATGTTATGTGTGAATAAAAGTTTTAAAATATAAAACTCATATAATTGTTATAAATCGTTAAAACTGGCATATTAAAGATCATTGATGTAAACCATTGTCAAATGTACCCTCCTTGATAACTGGCGCATTTGACAACACACTAGTCTCTTACGTTCCCCTTCAAAAGGTACAATTTTTATTTTGTCTGTCGATATTTTTAGATCATAATTTCTTGCCTACTTAACGCATGCAATGCTCTTTGTTAGCTGTTCTTTCCAAAAACAATTACCAGATATGTACTTTGGGGTATTAACCTTTACAGAGAAATTGGCTTGCAGAGAAATGCCAGTAACAGAATAGGTATCATTGTCTTGCTTTCAAGTGGTGCTGAGACAAATGCATATTTTATTATACCTGGTGAATAAATTTACTTCATTTTTCTCCTGTAAAAAATGGGATGCATGCCTCATAACAAGGTGTTGTACTTAGATGAACACAGCAAACAACTTAAGCTTCACATGGATCTCTTCTTCAAGTTTGAAAATGTTTGGACTTAGGTCACACAGAAAACATTTGACAATCACGCATTTATACAGACTCCTAATCCAGCATCTAAGATAACTACATCATGTCATTACCTGAGAAAATGGTGTTATGAAGATATACAGAATGTCCCAGGGGTTTGGTGCCATACTTCAGGAGTGTACTGAGGGTTCCCTATAGAATAACTTTGAAATAGGAACCCATGTCCGCAAACGCAAAATAGCAGCGCTAGGGCGGCATTTAAAATCATTTCGTTTAAACTTGGTGCCTCAATATCGAACTGCATTGTGTAGAGGAACAGCCATCCACCAGAACTCGTGCCATGGCCTAGATTGTGGGGACATCAAAATCAAGTTTTGGAGGATCCTGCATGACCAACAACTTTATCCACACCATCCAACGCAAGTACACGATGTACGAAGGGGGACCCAAAAATAACTGGAACCGACCTGTTGCGCGCGCATGCTTTGTAGGTAAGAGTTGTGCTGCTAGGTGGTGTTAGCTGGGGGTCTCCCGCGACTGTTAGTGAGCTGGCGTCAGTCTGAGTTAAGTGGTTTGTCTGTGGTGCTCTGTTGTGTGCGTTCCTGTTTCAACCCTTTGGCGATTAGTGAGATGGCCGACCAGAAGGAACAAAGAGTGTGCGTGAAATTTTGCTTTCTGTTAGGGAAAACTGCAGCCGAGACTGTTGGGATGCTTCGGCAAGCCTTTAATGATGATGCTTTGGGGAAATCACAGGTCTACGAGTGGTTTTCCCGTTTCAAATCTGGCAACATGTCAACAGAAGACATGCCACGCCCCGGGCGTCCTTCGACAGGAAGAAATGACGAAAACATTGCCAAAATCAAACGTGCAATTGATGAAGATCGTCGAAAGACCATTGACCAACTTTCTGAGGAAACGAACATCTCATGGAGCACGGTCCAGCGAATTTTAACTGAAGGTTTGAACATGAGACGGGTGTCTGCAAAATTTGTTCCTCGCTTGCTCGGAGATGACCAAAGAGAAAACTGCGTGAATGTTTGCCGCGACTTGAAGGGTGAAGTGCAGAACGGTCCAGAATTTGACGCACACTCTTTGTTCCTTCTGGTCGGCAATCTCACTAATCGCCAAAGGGTTGAAACAGGAACACACACAACAGAGCACCACAGACAAACCACTTAACTCAGACTGATGCCAGCTCGCTAACAGTCGCGGGAGACCCCCAGCTAACACCACCTAGCAGCACAACTCGTAACTACAAAGCATGCGCGCAACAGGTCGGTTCCGGTTATTTTTGGGTCCCCCCTCGTAGGTCCAGCTGACTTCATACCACGAGTTCAATTTTGTCAGTAGATACTGAACCAGTGTTTACATCAGCCCAACGTCCTGAATTACATGTTCTTCACAGACAAAGCGCAGTTTACGAGGGATGGCTGGTTCAGCTGTCGAAACAGCCATGTCTGGGCTGACAAAAACCCCAACGTTACTGTAGTTGGTTACCACAAGGTGCAATTTTCTGTCAATGTCTGGGCGGGCATCATTGGCAATCACTTGATTGGGCCTTTCCTCCTACAACTGTGACTCAATCGGCCCTTTTACAAGGTGTTCCTGGAACGTATCCTTCCGACTTTGCTAGAAGACATGCCACTGATTGTGTGAAGGCAAATGTGGATACAGCATAATGGAGCGCCGGCACACTTGAGCACTGTATCACGAGACTACCTGGATGCTGCTTTTCATGGTCATTGGATAGGAAGATGAGGCCCAGTGCCTTAGCCACCCCGATCCCCAGACTTGACACCTCTGGACTAGTTCGTCTGAGGCCATGTGAAAAGTCTGATCTACGACATGCATGTGGATAATGAATTCAAGCTGTTGGCCAGAATACTTGTTGCATGTGATGTGACCCATGAGACACCTGGAATATTTGAAAGGGTGCGCCAAAGTTTCTTTAATCAATGTAACGCATGCATTGAAAATTGAGGGCACCAATTCTAACATCTACTCTAGCAGGTGTGTCTTAAGAGTTTGGAGGGGGTAATATGCTTGTGCATGCTCTTCGACATTGAGGCACCAAGTTTAAACAAAATGATATTAAATGCCACCCTAGCGCTGCTGTTTTACATTTGCAGACATGGGTTCCTATTTCAAAGTTGTTCTATAGGGAACCCTAAGTATGCTCCTGAAGTATGGCACCAAATACCTGGGACACCCTGTAGAATGATGCCTTAATAAAAACAGAACACATAGCTTCTTGTGTCAAAAAGTGAATTTCTGTTACGGTATTCTGTGATGCATTCAAATGCAAATTTTTTAAGCAGATTACTACTCTTGTAAGTCTTATACTAGCCTCCATATTTCTGTCTAAACTCAACTGCCCTAAATAATCATATGATGAAGAACTGTTTGGACTTTTTTGCGTGCAACATTATCAGTGTTCAATGTACCTGCTTTCCATTGACTAAAACTGTCGTGATAAAAGGGCTGATGCTATCCACAGTGTGATGAAGCAGGCTGCTGCAATACCGCACAGCTACCCAGTATCGTAAGCACCCTGCATGATGGTACAAGTTCTTAAGATGGTCCTCAACTGCAAGCATAAACCAAAGCAACAGAATGAAAACTAAGTGTTTAAATTTATGCTAAAAATTTAATTTGCTTAAAAAGTTAACCTTTTAAGGGTAAAGGTATATCACTTCGCTTATTCTTTCTGATTGCATATGTCCATAATGAGATATCACTGTTTTATTAAAAACTCAGTACAGCCTCACAAAGTCCTTAGCCTGGCCAACATATAATTGGGACCACTGTTTGCATATGACCAGGTAGCATTTGCAGAATAACACTTTTGCATGCCAAGAAGTTCCACAGTAATTAACTAGCAGTCCTCTATCAAGTGCCTACCTAATAAAAAGGTTACAATATTTTTATGATATACCATTCTGTAACAAAACTGCTACTCAAGCAATTTCTTAATAAAATCAAATCACAATTCTTCAGCATATTTTTACACGTTAGTCCCACATTATTGGTTTTACATTACACTGCATGGTCAAATGTTTATAATTGTAAACTGACACTTGTAAACACTATATTCAGTGCTGTATTAACTTCACTACACTGGAACTGGTTAGAGTGGCAATAAATAGTGACAATAAATCCCTTTGTAGTGCTGATGTCAGGCACCTGTATGAAAACAGAAAACCCATATTGTCACCAACTAAACTAATGCATTTTTCACTTGAACAGACTAATTCCATAACACAAGATCCTCTCTGGTGGAAAAAGTCCATATTTTCATGGAATCTAGAGGCTTATTTATGTTAAAGAGAAGTCTGCTACTGAACCTTATCCACAATTAGCTGAATCTAGTGTATACTCCACACTCAGTCTCTTTAAGATCCATTTAAATATCAATCTCATATAAATTCCTTGGTCTTCCAAGTCTTTCTTCAAAGTATTGTGACCACAATACTGAATTAATCATTTCTTGCATGTATGCTGCATGCTCTGCTCAACCTTACTAATTCACTCAACCTAACAATATTAGCTGAAATGCATAAACTATGGGGATCCTAACTGTGAAAATTTCTCCAGTAATCTGTTATCACCTCTCTTATGAGCAACTACATCTGCAAGGACTTAATCTTAAACACCCACAATCTACACTCTTCCCCAAGGACAAGAAACCAAATTTCACAGAAAACTAAATATATATACCTTACATGTCAATGGAACAGTAAAAGACGATATCAGCTAGTCTCAAAGCTAAAATTTATATAGTATAAGATATTACTCAGCTTCACCTGTAAGGCCATTAAACTCGTACTTGAGTCCTTCTCGCTTTAGAAGCATTCCATATAACTGGCACCTGGCATATACCCCTTCAGTGTTCCGTAATGTATCCAATAATTCATGTAATGGTTTATTTTCCAGAGCCTGTACAATAATATTCACACATCAAAAGCATATCCTCTTTTACAATTAATGTTAATTTCCAACAGTGTGTGTTGTTCATATTTAGTAACCATTCAATGACTGAGACAATATTTTCAGTTCAGTGGAAATTCAGATTGAAGTCTTTTATCTTTTTATAAAAGTACATGGAATGTTCAGTTGATCAGAAGGTTTGGTCTGTCTGCTTTCCCATGTTTCATCTTCAGAACAATTCAAATGATTTCTGTGAACTTTGGTATTGTGGGTCTACTCCAAATGCTGTTGGGTTCATTTCATGTTGCCAGATTAGTCTCATGCAAACCCTACTTTACATGAAGCTGCAGTTTCCTTCAGGACACTCCTGAAAAACAGTTCATCAAACAAAGAATCGTCCTCAAAAAGAAATAGAGACCTGTTTGTTAATTAGCACGAATTAATCATACTGTATTCATGATATGACCATAAAATCCATTCCATACATAGGCATGTGAGAGTTCTTAGTGTTTAACTATTGTCCTTTGGATGTTATGTTAGTATAAGGACTTGAATACAGCAATCTGTGTAATGTTCTGGTTTTTAGAAGCCTACCCCAAAGAGAGACACTATTCATGAAGGCACATCTCTCATTGTACAACTTTTATACACAGCTTGAAAGTACAAGCAAGTATGACAAAGGCAGTAACTTTTCTGCATGTGTGATGATGTTCTCATATGCTGCCTTATAATAGAAAACCCTTTACAAGAAGTTCTAGGAGAGGTTTACAATATTTACCATGCAGAAAGAACTGCACTGCAACTCAGGAACTATTCTTGTTGTTCATGGTGGTTACATTTAACATCTCCAGGTTCATGGACTCCCACATGTATCATTTATTTGACCTTCTGAACACAATGATTGTGTGGCAAACAGTATTAAGAAAATTGTATTCTTGTACTAAAACAGCCTGTCTTTGGAATATCACACATATAAAACCATAATACACTAAACTATTTGAACACATAACTAAGTTATATTAAACAAACTAAAATGAAATTACATTATGCCATATGCTAGTTTCCATGTTATGAATTTAAAATATGGCTGAGGAAAAATCTGTGATTTCTCAAGGTCATGATCCATTCCATTAGCATACCAACTTGCACAGACGTTAATATCTACACATACTGAAATGAAGAAGTCAACATTTATATTCCAATTTAGTATTCAGTTCAAACCCCTATGGCTTCCTTCATGCCATACAGCATACTTACTAGCTAAATCAACATTTAATCCTAGTAATTTTACAGATGGACAAATAAATATTTAATGTTTCTTTCTTCATTGTTTTGGTGTACTGCAGACCAGTCATAACCTGTTTTAAGAGAACAGTAAAGTCGCATGCAGGAAAGTCACTTAATAAAATGAGGCACATACCTGAAATGTCTTGGGATCTTCAGTGTACTGTAATGCTCTAGGGACATCTGTAAGACTCTGATAGCCAATGTATTCATGTTCCAGTTGGCGAAACTGTTGAAATGTCATCTCAGATGTATCTACTGTGTTCATGAAGTCCAAATGTTCTATAAAAAAGGAAATTACAATATATGATGGTAATGCCATGTTTAAAAAGTTCTCTGCTAAGGAATAGAGCACCAAACACCATAAATGATCCCTGATATCCCTTACCAATGCAAGATGATGAGATAAGATTCTGTAGTCGTCCAATTCGAACTTTCATTCCATCACAATAGCCTTTTTTCAGCATGGCTAAGAGATCCAACATCTCCTTGAATTGTGGATCTCTGAAATGAGTTAGAAATATATATGCAAATAAAAGGAGAATTTTCAATTACAATTTACTGAAGAAAACAAATATACCATCACTTCTTACATCAATTATGCAATAAATGATTTAGAGAATCTCTTGTAGAATTCTAGGACTACAGTAATCTGATCCATCATGAAATAAACAAGCTTTCAAAAAAGGGCCAAATCCACTTCCTAACTGCATTTGATATTTTGATTTATGTGTAGGGTTTACATTTTTTGTTACTAATCAGCTATTTCAGCTAGTAAAATGGAACAACTGTGAGGTGTGGTGAAACAAGAAGCAGATACAATCTCATGACCAACCAGATCTCGGATCAGAAGACCATTACTTTATCAAGCCTAGTGATGTAGTAGCTAGTCAGAGTAGGTGTGCGTCAAATTATGTGTTGGGGGTTATTTAAAATTTTCATTACACAGCAACCCAATATAGTACACCCCCCCCCCTTCAGCTGAGGATGGAAACAGATCTAGTTTGTGAAGTTTTGTGTTCCCTAGTTTTTTTAGAACACTGGACAATGGACAAAGTCCAAAAACGCAGTAATTTCAAATATCATAACATATAGTTTAATGTGTTTTGTTTGTTCAAACTATTATGGTATTACGGGCGTTCGAAAATGATTGACACTAAATGTTTTTTCTTCACAGCAACCATTTATTGGAAAAAAATACACACAGATTATATTAGAGGTATCCCCCGCCAATGTCTGTGCACCTTTGCCATTGTTCCGGCAGTTGCCATATTTGCACAGGAAACCATTCTTTGAGGGCATACCGGCGCCACTGCTGGACAACTGCCTGAAGCTCGTCATGGGAGGTGAACATCTTACTTGCATGACTTGGCGCTGCTTCCCCACATACGGCTGCTAACCTCATGTGAATGTGTGAAGTAGCCAGTCCTTCCCTCCAGAGAAACTACACAGTCCACCGTTGCCCATGATTGTCTGCTTTCATGTTGTCTGAGTACTGTCCACGACTGCACCTGCACACCGCCACGAATGACGCAACACTGTTCAACCTGTGCGCAGTAGCAACGTCATCTCATGGCCATGGGCGGCACTATAGTATGTCTTCCCACATACACCGGCTCGCATTTGACACTGTACTTTTCCGGAGTTACGGAGGGAGTGTCAATCATTTTTGAATGACCAAAATAAATAACTAAAAACATGAAGACTTCTATTTTCTTGCATAGCTTGTGTAATGCAGAATAAAATAACCCTACTATAACAGGCCCTGATGATAAATCAGTACTGAGCAAACATAAACCAAACTGGAGAAGATTCTGCCCCACTGCCACTCTGTCCAACATAAATCCCACATGGACTACCCTGGCTTTCAACCTTCGCCTCTACAGTGAGAAGCCAGTGACTACCCATTTCAGTAATGGCATGACCAACATTCTGCTTTATCCATAGAAATAACTGTAAGTATTAACAGTTTCAGAACATTAATCTTCTATTGATAAGGAGCAGGATAATTCTAACTCACACCAATGTCTCCATTGCAACACAGTAAAATTGCCTCTGAAAAGACTGTTGGTTACAGTAAAAAGACATAATTATTTACTACCAAAATAAATCACTGTTTTTTCACCATTTACATCAGAACCGAGCATAGCAGACATTTACAGAGATATACCTCATATGTTCCTCTCGGATAAGAAGACATACTGTTGGTCGGCCAGAAAGTCTCCAGTACCGTCCAACAAACTGCAGTTCAGTTTTGATGTCATCAATCAATAATGCCATATCCCTATACAGATAGAACTCGGACACCTCAAATATCAATGGATAACACAAAACAGTCATTCCACAAACTCGATACACCTGGAAAAGCATAGACTCAAGTAGCAATATTGTAACTGATAAGTTTATTGTTTTATGTGTGTGTGTAACATGATCCATCACTTTCAGCGTAGGGTACAGATTGAGTATGAAGACAGTGCTGATGAAAATATCTGAATCTGGAAGAAATGGAAACAAATTTATATGCAAATTTATAATTCATACTTTTCAGCTCATAGTTTTAAGATTAAGGAAAGACATGTGACGGGTAAAACATGTGGTTCATATGAGGGGGAAAAGTGAATATAAACTTGTGGGAAGAAAACATCATGGAAAGAGACCATTTGGAAGATTTAGGAAAAAAACAGGATAACATTAAACTGTATCTTAAAGAAATAGGTCATGGAGATTTCAACGGCCCAGGACAGGATCTAATTGCAGGCTTCTGGGACAACGGACCTTCAGGCTTCACAGCTGTAGGTAATTTTTCAGTCTGTTGGATAACTACTAGTTATTAAAGATGGTTTTACATGATGGAATGGGTTAATCCATACAAGTGTTACATCTATTCTGCATTAAGTTTAAAATTATGACAATAGTGTGAAACATTTCAGGCTATTTATTTGGGCTTTGCCTAGGATATAAGAATAGATCTTCCCAGAGGCACAACAGAGTAGGAATCTCTTCTTACCCTCTTTACCTGAAGATAGAAATAGAACCCTTTCCCAAAATGTCCTACTTTTTACATGTAAAACCATGATTTGGGACAAAGTCCAAATAAATATCATTGAACGCCATTTTTCCTTATTAGACAGTCTGTCAGCAACATACCTTGCTTGTACCAAGAGCTCCTATAGGCCGAACAGGTCTTCCATTCAAATTAAGTTTGGAGTTAACACCGAGCTGTTTGTAAACTTTGACCAACTCTCTTGAAGACCATATCTGTACTGGTTCCACCTCATGAGGGGTTTGAGTTTGAATGCCATAAGTTGCCATCATTGCTTGGAGACGCATTGATTCGGCAATCAGTACTATTTGTACTACAAGATCCGTGGCAGTCCCTTGCTAGAATAATTTTAAAAATGCACCAATAATGGTAAAAAATATAGAGACATAGACTAATGTTTCTGTGGTCCCACATATTCAACTGCTTAATATGACTGTCATGCACCTGGACCAAATAATTCCTTCACAAATGGCCATCAAATCTCATTCTCTGCAATGACATATCTGGTTATGGGGTACCATAGCAGGAACAGAAGCCACTGAACACAGTATTTTTTTTACTTTATTCTCAATGTTCCATTTTGGAAAATTATTAAATAAACCACCTACACCACTTAATATCATTATGCACACAATGCATTTCAGTAAATGCCTGAAGAAGGTAAAATTTTTGTTGAAATCCACTGCACATATATCATGACACTGAATAATGTAAATCATTTAGGTAACAACATTCGCTAACACTGAAAACTTTCATATAAACTCAGTTCAATTGAACCAACAGATGTCCCTTTGTTTAAGAGTGATTTAATGTAGGATATAATTATCTCATTGGTAACACAATTAGCACTTTTTCTTAACATCATTGATCCATTAGAATTCAAACATTGGCAGAGAAAATGTATGAAATTTGTATTTACTTTTAAACTGAATGCAGCCACTGACAAAATATCACAGATGGCATCGAACATCTGATATGAACACAACACAAATGTAGCTACATGGAACTCTTATAAATTTTTCTGTTAAAAACTACATACAGGATGGTGATGCACAACTTTGATGTCATGCCTAAAAATGTTATAGTTTTGAAAATCTGTACTAGTGGAAAATATGAAGACAGATATTATCACTCATCCAAGTATTAAGCCCAACTGGCCAATTACAAGTATTACAAAACAGAATTTTGCATTACCACAACCAGTAGGAAGACCTAGACATAAAAGGGATGATAATATTAAAATTTATTAGAGATAGGATGAGGTATACGGACTAGATTGATATGGCTCAGAATAGGGACCAGTGGAAAGCTCCTGTGAACAGAATAATGAACCTTCAGGTTCCATAAAATTTTGGGAAATTCTTAAGCAGCTGAGTGACTGGCAGATTCTCAAGAAAGACTAAGTTCTATGGAGTTAGTTAATTATATTTATGAACAAAATGAGATTTCTCACACACTTATGTAAGCCACTCAATTGCAATGTTGCAATAGTAATGAAAACACATTTCTGTCTTGAATATTATGTGTAATCTGCCTCACTAATCTAGATTATCACCAAATTCAGACTATTCTCCTCCAAGTACAATTCAGACTAATGAGGTTATACTGTATCAGGTAACATTCATTTTACCTGAGACTGAGGAATCCTACTGGGGGTAAAAGGCAGCTGGTGCATAAGGCTGACAACCTTGCCACAATCTCTGAGCTGTCTAGAAAATGTGAGAGCCTCAACGTCTCACAACCCTATGGGCCTTCATGACCTGTTACAGGGATAGCTTTAACTTTTTTTTTAGCTGATTTAGATGCCATAGTTGGTACAGCAACTGGCCACATGCTGGACGACTGATGGGTCGAAATTCAAGTCCCAAAACAGATGTAATGGACAATCATTACAGGACGCCATACTGAATGATTTAAGGGTTCTAAAAATTTTGTAGTTAATCCACAAAGTGGATTATCGCAACGGCCACCCCATAGTTCAAGCGGTTAGTCAATGGCTTCCCACTGTGGTGGCCCAGGTTCGAATCCGGGACTGGTCAAGTGGGATTTGTTGTGGAAAAAGTGGTGCTGGGGTAGGTTTTCTTTGAGTGCTTCAGTTTCCCTTGCCGATCTTCATTCCACCAATTGCCCCACAATCATCTTTACCTATCATCTGGGGCTGGTACAATAGGCCAGAAGTGGCCGCAGTATAAGGGACTTAATCCCACCCCACTAGCAATAAAAAAAGAAGTGGATAATCCAGATGCCAATAATTGACAGCCTATTGTACAGTGGTAAATGCTATAAATTCTTTAGCATATTCCTTATCTAGTTTGTATTGCCAATTATCTGTTCTTTCATTTGTTGGTATGTTTGTATATAGGTTACCAACTTCAGGTAACATCATATTCATGTTATGAGTTTTGTCCATTCTTTTAATCTATCTTATGAAATGGATACATTTATTCATATGACACAATAGGAGAGGAAAATGTTATTTAACAATGTACTTCAGCAGCAAAGGTTAAGCAGTGCTGAATAAGATGGAGCAATAGCAGGTAAGAATTTTAAACATGGTAATGGCCTACTTCAGAGCACTATCTCAGCATTTTCCTATAAAGACTGAGGGAAAATCATGTCAGGAGAGCCAAAATTTGAACCAAGAACATCCCAGATACAAGTCCAAAACATTATTACTACACTTACCTGTTCAATCCTATACCTTGTAAAGACATCTGATATTAATTATATGGATTCATATGCAGAAACATTCATAAAATTAACTATAGTTGTCACGTGTTGGGTGTATAATGCAACAAATAACTTCACGCCTTATTGGATGTAGCGAATTTATTCCACTCGCTCTTACAATCACACAAAATACAGATCCACAATTACTGCCATCGGCAGTATCACAAATACTCTGACGAAAGATAGACAGCTATTGACCGGTTAACTGCTGGGCTAACTCGTAACTCATTACTCACAGCTGGCTAGATTCCAACTCAACTCGTAGGCAGCTGCCTTGAGAACTGTTGATCACACACTGACTCGTTCACTGCTGGCTGGAGAACTGTCTTCGGCCGCTGATACACTTTTAGCTAACTGCGACAACTGAACTCGGTGACAGCCACACTTCAACCCGTAACTCGCTGCTGGCTAATGCGTAACTCATAACTGCTGCCTTGAGAACTTGAGATCTAACACTAACTCTCGCTTGCTGCTCAGCCGGCTTTTATTCCGTTCGCTGTTGCCTGTTGCCCGTGTCAACAGCGGCGTTGTGTTGCGGTGCCGCGTCACAGTGGGAAGCTGTGCCACGTCACAGTGCGGGGGGGGGGCTACGTCACCGCGCGGAGGGGGGTGACGGAGTGCTGACTCACCCGCCACGTCACTGCTGGGTGGGAAGGGTTGTCCTCCATTGCGCAACATGTCACATTGCTCCCTCCTTAAGGCTGTTCATCCCGAATAGCCTAACAGTGCATCCCCGTTCCGTTTCTTTGGAGGCTGTGCTTTCTGCGTCTCCTGGCTACTCCTTGCAGCGATTGTTCTCCGCCCAGAGAATTTATAGACTGATTTGCATTAGAAGACTGTTCTTTAATTCCAAGGGCTCCCCTCCCTCAGCATGCTGAGGTTCGTAACTGGTGCTGTTTTAAACACTATACACTATAAATACTACATATTCCATTAACTGTACATCCCAATATACAAACTAAATAAAATACAAAGAAAACCATTTACAAAAATACCAAGACCTGCAAGCAACTCACATAATAATGCCCGCTTCAGAACTTGTAAAAAAGTCCACATTTGGGGTGGGGAGCATTTATGGCGCAGGCTGTTTCCCTCCAGCGATAGAACAGTGATAAGGATGAGGGCTCGTAGAAGGGACCTACAGATTATAATGAGCTGCATATTCCTCATTTGCAGTTTCACATGTGCCAGTGGTGAGAGAAGGTAAGCCCGCAGTGGATCCAGCTAGTATAAAACATAAGCTTTGGCACAGAAGCAACCCTAAACATCTCTACAAATTATGTTTCATGCAATGTGTGTTCATTCCATTAATTAAAAATATTCTACTTTATTTAATGCTCAAATTGTATATATCTAATCAATTAGTGCTTTCTACTTTCTCATATGCATAGCATACATGACAGAATACTGTAATCATGCAGAAAATTGATCTCAAGATTTTGAAGGGTCAGAATATTTTCAGAAGTCTTCAATGTGAAAAACTTGTTTCTGAAATGCAGACTGCATGTCTGAATGTGTATGTGCGCATCAATGTACATATGTATGTGTGTGTCTTGGTAGAACCTGAATGGTTTCACAAATTTAGTTCACATTTGGTATTCCATTACAGGCTGGTGTACAGTAAAAACATGGACCTGAACAAATATAGCAATTTTCTGGAAAACAATATTATATTTCAGCATCCTGTTACACTCACACAATATATATGGATAAATACCGTCTTAAGTGCAACAAATTTTATTGTAGTTTTTACTTCTTTTCCTCCTCCACACTACATGTTTCGGCCCTAAATGGCCATCATCAGGTGTGTATCACTCACGTAGCTGTTACACTGCTTGTTAAAATTTAAAATTACCAGTCTTTCTAATTGTATAAAATCTTTGTTAATCTACACGCGTCGATTTGATTTTTAAATTAGCACTTTTTAAAACTTAATTCAAGTTAAAATGTCTATAAG